CTATCATTTGATCTAAACAACAAAAGATCGAATGCTCTCAAACAAACTAGAGATCACATGATCTTAAAGACTTTGAAAGCTAGAGCGGGACAGACTTTAATAAAATAATTCCCATGCAATTTAAATCAGATTGAACTTGAAAATATTTAAGAGGAACTTGAATGAACTTTATAAAAGCAAAAAATCAAGATGGTTATGATTTAAAAAACATGTTTTTATTTAATTAGTAATTGGATTTAAAGAATAATAGTTTTGAAATGAAGCTCGTTACGGGAAATTGCATTTTTTTTAACAAAATTCCTTTTCCCAAATTGGAAAGTGCTTTAAAGTAGAGAGGAGCTGAGCATTGACATTGTGAGCGAAGCGATTCGAGAACAATTTCGTTTTGAATTTTAAACTAAAATATGTACAAATTGGTAACTCGTATAAGAAGAAGACAGAGCACACTTGTGTCGGCTGCCACAAGACAAATATCAAAAGTCTTCAAGTAATACCCAATATATTTACATATATTTACATTTTATTCACAGAGATTCACTTGAAACTCAATAATAGAACTTGCTCTCTGTCAATCACAATAATTGTTGTCAGTTTTGGGTAGCACATCGAATTTCTTAGCCAGCCTTGCAAATCCGGTTTCAGGATCTATACAAAAGTGGGATACATTCAGACAGTCCTTAGACAGGCTGTGTGTGTGTGTGTGTGTGTGTGAGAGTGTGTGCTGAACAGAGGCAGGTGTGCTGCTTTGCGAGCGAATGTCTCGCACTCTCTGCCCCCCTCTCTCTCTCTCTCTCTCGCCCGTTTGAAGCCTTTTCACCGGATTCTGTCATATCCTGTGCGCAATTTAAACTTTCTGCGGTCAGTGCCGGCAGCAGAGCGACTGTGCAACGTGCCGCACACTACTTTGCAATTATTTGCAATTTAGACAACACTCGGCCTAGCCACGATTTCACATATATATTTATATATATATACATTTCCATTGCCATTAGCATTTGCAGTTCCAGTTCCAGTTCCACCCCGAAGCGCTTGTAATGAAGTCTAAAATTGCGAGTCATTTCGCAATGCTTTTTGCTAAATTAACACACAGAACGCGAAAAACTATAAAAACCCCGCAGACCCAACTCACGGGCTCAGACGACTCCGTTCGTTTAAATATTTATGAGCTACACGTGACGTCGACAGAGCCATGAAAGCGACGCACAACAGCTACAACACACAAAATACGAGTGCTCTTGGCAGAGAGGGCACGACTAGCAGCTACCCTGTACACGAACACACTCGTGCTGACCCTGACTCTGTGCTTCTTCCTTAGTCCAAGTCAGACTTTATGGAAAGGAGAGGTGATGGAGATTTTTTTATTCCGAAAAAATTTTTTTTTTTTTATGACGACATTTATGGCACTTAAAGATGGTATTCAATTGTGTTTATATAACCATAATCAATGCTATAGATTAATAAATTTCCATTTATCTGTTTACTTTTAAGAGAGGTATCCATCTATAGATCAATAAATTTCCATTTATCTGTTAACTTTTAAGAGAGTTATCCATCTAAAGAGAAAGCCTATGACTTGGGCCTCTAACTTATCGATTTACGAGGTATTTATAGATATTACGTGTGTAAAAGTTCAAATTCCGGACAAATTTGTTCATAAATGCTTCTAAGCACTAATATGCCCATTTGCAATAGGTGTAGGGTATAACAATAACAGCTCTGAACATGGCAACAACTCGCCGCAAATGTCGCCTGAACTAGCCAGCTTATGACACTGTTAATATTAATACTATTGTTGTTGTTGCTCTTTTAATTGTTTAAGCCAAACAAAGTAAAACTAAAACAAAGAATCATTAAAAGAAGGCAAAGAATCTAAAAACTATACTTAATTTTGGACGCTTAAACAGAGCGCGTCTAAATTCCATTCACACTTTCACTTGATCTGTTAAAATATAACAAATTTTATTATATAAATAATATTAATTATAATCAAAGCAGATCACAAAACCAGTTTGAACCGGCGCCCAGCAACTAGTCGAAATACCAAACTCTAGACGGAGATTTGTGGGCGGCTTGAACTTTAAGCTCTGAACTTATGTAAATCGTGTTGGGCACACGTGAGATTGGCTGAGCTGACATTGGACCAGCTGTCAGATACTCTGTTTTCATGCAACATTCAGCTGTCAACTGAGACCTTTGCAAGTTACGATAATATTGGATAATGGACCCCAATGTTAATGTTAATGTCTATAAAGCCAAAGAAAGCAGGATCTTCCGTCTAGAAATTGCAATTCATTTGGAACACTTAGAACACATTTGGAGTTTTGAGAATCTATATCAGTTGTTAACCATTTACCAGGTGTTTAAAGTACTCTTAACCATTTTTCTGGCCCCTTTCGAGGCTTAAATTCTGTTTGTACTTTTCATGGTCATCCATTTGCAGGATGTTGTTGTTGTTATTGTTGCATTTGCCGTCCGTTCAACTAAATGACAAACGCATTGTCATGCGGCTATTCACATGCCTCAGCCCCCCCCCCCCCCCCCCCCCCCCCCCCCCGGCCACGTCCCCTTCAACTTCGCTAGCCCCTTTCTGCCCGACTCTTGCAGGCAGCAGAGCGCAAAACTGTGAATATTTCGTGTTGTGGCTGCAACTTCTTGGGCTTCTTTTGCCACCCAAATGGCCAGTGTATGGACTCATCAATCGTTCGGCACATCTTACCCTTACCCCCCTCTCCATCTCACCTTCCCTCTCTACCCCACAGCAACCTTCCCTCTGCTGGCTGGCTGGCTGCAGCCCGGGTAGGCGCAGCTGCGCCGTTTAACGCATGTTGTACAACATTTTAACGGCCAACCACTCGATGTGCACTGTTTGTATCTACCCGAAAGGCGCGCACAAGCGGGCACAGGCACAGCTACGGATACAGATACACACAGCTACAGATACACACACACACAGGCACACATACACACACACACTCGAGACAGGGGTGACTTTTCCCCGAAAAAAAGGGATAATAATAAGCAAATGGCATTCGGGCTGGCTGCACTACCAAAGCGCTCTAAGGACTCGAAGTTAACTTTAATTAATTTTCTATTCCTGGCAATTGTCATAGACATCAATCGCTTCCAACTGAAGCTATTTTTGTATAGTTTCCCCTAATCAGATGACGTCATTCTGCTGCTCCAATGCAATTGGCAGATGTTGGTAATTGGTTCTTAGGAATAATAAACTCAACTGGCATTTAATTAAAACTTAACGCCTATGCAACACTGACTTTTTCACGATTTGCAGCACTTAAATAATTTATTTATCATTAAACAACACTGTATGTTTATTGCTGAATATAAGCTTACATGTTTGCCTGTTATTCAACTCTGTTCTGTGTGAATTTTTGGCAAAACATGTTAATATATTTAAGAGTAAGACATATCGCCTTACAACACTGCTGCTCATTACACAACACCGTTTACAAAGTCCGCTTTGTGCAATTATGTGTTGATTAGACTGCGCAATGCAATTGTCTCTGAGCTGATAACCCTGAGGCCTAACCAACGATAGGCACTCGTCAGAGAACTGTAAAACTTATTAATTTTCCGAATGTGACTAATTTAATTTGTAATTAAAATTCTGGTTGCCAAAGGAAAAGCTGAATACAAGAAATAAAGTATAAGAAGAGAAAAGAACAGAACTACATAAATTGGATTATTATAGCATAAGGGCTTAAGCAGCACATTAAGTGATTTCCAACACTATTGAGCTTTTAACTGTACGCTTGTCTCTTATTCAACACTGTCAACACTTCACAAAATATTCATAAGCCAAATAAAACAGAACAAATCAAAGCAGGGGATAAATCATTTCGCATGTCGCTGACGCTGGTCGCCTGTGTGCAGAAGGGAGCCCAGCAAATAAAAGACGCTGTGGAGGAGATGACAACGAAATGCTGGAGAAAAAAAACAGCAACAATCCCCAAGTGGTTCAGAGCTGGTGGCGGCGGCCACTCTCTGTGTGCGCCACACTCTTTTGTCTACTTTTTGCGCTAGTTTTGCTGCTGTTTGAACCGGTTTCATTGTTGTTGTTGCCGTTGTAGCCGTTGTTGCTGTTGCTGTTTCTTGTTTGCTTGCGAATTTTCCAGGCTGCCGTATCCCGACTTGTGGCACTTGTGAGGCGCTGCATTTGCTGTGCGCCGCATCGCTGGTGGCACGAAACAACAACAGTGGCGCCCTCTGCAATGTTGCAGCAGCACAAGAAGTTGTTGCACCAGCCACAGCCAGCCAAAATGTTGCTGCTGCATGTTGCAGCTGTTTCCATATCGCGCTGCCTGCCACATGTGAACGCCAAACAGCAGCAGCAACAGCAGCAGGAGCTCCAGACGACATCTGTTTTGCAAGCCGCCGCCTCACTTTTGCTGGATGAACCTGTTGTTTTTGTTGCTGCTGCTGTGTTTGTTGTTGCTGCTGTTGCTGTTGCTGCTGCTACTGTTGCAGCTGGCCAACAGTTGGAGCCATCATGTCGCTGACAATTTGCATTTATTTATTTGTGGGGCTTTTCCTTTTGCGGTTTTTGAACGCCAGCGACGGCGCGTGTGAACCAAATCACAACGCGCCGCTCTATGCAATTCTCACAGAATTGAGGCATAGCAAGCGCAATATTATTTAATTTATGACTTGTGCTTATTATATAAAATGTAATCTAAGTAATTATGTAATCATATCTTGAATAATATATATTTATAATGCTTATAGTTTTTCTTACTCTATGCTGCCTTTAATTATTCATATTCTTACTCCTTCTATATAATGTTCACACATATTTTCATAATTATTTCCGCTATTTCATTAGCTTGTTCGCAAGTATCTCAAGTATCTAACGACATTCGCTTCAGTATGCTCATTCAACTGATTCCATTGCCAAATTATCGCCTTCATTCAGATGTTATCTAACTGAAGTTGACACATCCACCTAATCGTCTGGTGCTTCTTCTTCTTCTCGCTCTTTGCAGCCGACACTGCCACACTTATGGCCACATTTCTGCAATCCAATTGGAACAATAACAAGAACTGCCCCTAGCTAACAATTTAATTGCCATTGCACAAAAACTGTTTGTGCTGATAAGAAGAGGCCAGAACACATCGTGGAAAGCCCTACACCCAACCTTAAGCCTCTCTGCCATCCACCAACAAGGGGTAAGTTTTGCCAAGCATGCGGCATGTGGAATATGCTGCAAGATATACCCCAAAAAGCGACACAGCGCGCATGTGCAGTACTTGAGAAAGATACTTGACCGAGGGCGGTTCGTGAAATAATTAAAAAGTAATATGAATAATTCATCTTCAGCTTCAATATTCATATTTACTCATATATTCAAGTCTTTTAAGACATAAAACAGAGGAATGAATTGAATTCTTTAAAAAAAAAAACTATTATTAACATTAACTTTTGAAGAACACCTCCCAGATCGAATGCTAAATTTCACCTCTGTTAAATTTACACAGAACAGAATACGTTACTTTAACGTATTACTAAAATGAATTTTAAATATCTTTACATACGTATGTATGTAAATTAACAGACTACCTAATGAGCCCACCTCGCTGGAGTACAGCAAGAGCAGTAGTAACAGCAACAGAGACAATTAAGCTAATTGCTGTACCAGATAGCAGCAGAGGCTGCGGTGAGTTTCGAACTACACCTAACTCGCTCCCACTTTCTGGGCAGCCCGCGCCACCCACCACAGCCAATGCAATCGCAGAGCTTTGCTCTCGCCTGCGACACTGTAATCGCTCTCTCTCTCGCTCTTCCACTCTCTTTGCCTTTGGCAATGTTTGATGTGTGTGTGTGTGTGTTGTGAGTTTGTTCGCTGCAGTTGCGCCCACTGTGGAGCTGCGAACTGCGTGTGCCTTGAACTAGCTCTAAAAGCGGATCTTTCTCGCAATTTGGATTAGGCGCACAGATATCAAAAAGCGTGCCGTGGCGAACGGCGGCGGTCGGTCGCTTTTCCAGGCGTTTGCGATTGCTGCTTTTCCACACACACGCTTTTCCGCACGCTTTTCCTGCACCATTTGCCATTTGCTTGTTGCCTGTTATATTCCGATAAAATTGACTTTTTGTCGGTCGTCGTTAGCGTTGACGTCGCCGATTCCGTCGCCGTTGCCCGTTTTGCCGGTCTCGTCGGCGGCACCATTTTGTTTGGCGTCGTTTTCTAATGGGCCAACAGCCAGTGCAGCACATAGCCACAGCTGGGAAAGCTGTTTGCCACTGCACGAATGTGATTTGTCTCCACAGCGCACATGTTTGCAGTCGGGCGATTGCAATTATGTGCGTTTAAAATCGCGCGCGATTCTCGCTATTTCCCTATTCACATGTGTGCCATAAAAAAAATACAATAAGAAGAAAGTGAAGCAATAACAGAGCAAAGACTAGGAACATATGCAAATACAAACTCAAAGTGGAGTAAAATATACGGTATATCTTGATATATTAAACGTTTTGTCTTCCCATTAGAAAACACTTAACTTCTTTTTAATTAACAGATTTAATAGTTATTATATATTGTGCTGCTAAAGCAACGTACATATAGGGAAAAGTGCCGTAATCAAAATTTGGTCGATGAAAGATGTCCGCATAGATATACAGTCCCTTAATAAAGCTTTTACTGTACATACCCACCTATTAACATACGCTGCTATAAGACGTTAACATAACATAAAAACACAAGAAAATGTTATGCGCAAAGCCTCTGCTCTGCTAAGAGCATAAAAAACAATTGAAATTTGTGTTGTTGTCGCTGTTGTAGCTGCTGCTCACACAACATAAAGTAAAAACGAATGCAGACAGATAGCGACGCGTCGACACAAACCACAAACACACACACACGCGCAAAACGCACACACATAACAGACACAACACAGCAGCCGAGACAGGCAGACGAAATAGGCAAAAAGTTCACTCGGCAGCAACGGGCGAGCCAGCGAGCGCCACACAGCTCTCGCACTCACACCTACACAAACACACACACACTCAATTGACTCGCACTCTGTTTTCTCTTGCCAGCGCTGCAGAGTACAAGGTGTCGCGCGTTAACGTTTGCTGTGCGCCTGTTCGTTTTTGCGATAGACGCGCGACGTAAGTCGCCGTCGTTTTGCCTGAAAAAGTCGCCGTTGCACAGTGGACAAAATGTACGGTGGGCAGCATTTAACGATTTAAGCGATAAACAGATATTGTTTTGTATTATCGCTCTACAGCTTAGAATGGAGCGCGCCAGCTGCTCTTAAAATTTTCCATTATTTATTTACCTCGCATTTACGTATGTACAGCTTATTGATATTGGAATTTAGCATGCTATTAGGAATGTAAGCAGCTGTTTTGTTAGTTTCGTCCACTGTGCGTTGTCGTCGACGTTGCTTCAACGCGTTTTTGTCGTCGCCGGCGATTTTGGATTTGCGCCGATTTTGCAATTTCTGTGCCGGCGGCGACTGTTGTTTAACAGAGCCCAGATGTTAAAATGCGGCTCAGTTAACAGTTGACGCTGCGCGAGTGCTCGCTCGCCTTTGTTCTTCCTCTCTCTCGCTCTCTCCCTGTCTGTCGCTGGCTTTGCTAGCGAGAGCTGTTTGAGCAGTTTCTCAGAAAGCATTTGTGCTAATTATTGTTGTTTCAATTTTGTCTTGCTGCTTTCTATACAGTTTGCCGTCTTGCATTGCTTTTGTTTATTGCATCTGATTTGCCAAATTTTGATGGAATTCATCAACGTCTTTCTATCTATGAATCAGTTTGCAACAAAATGCACGTAAGTTTGTTTTGTTCTAAGAAATTCTGTTGCTTACGATTGCGGCTCAACCCCTCTACGTGCCTGGTCTGCCGCTCTCTCTCTCTCTCTTTCTTTTACTCTTTTTGTGCTTGCTGCTGCTTGCGTTGCGTCGAGTCGTCTGTTGCTTGTTTGTTGTTGTTATTTTGTATGTTCAACAAATAATTATGAGCAAAATAATGAAGTTGCAGTAATGATAATTAACCTGCATTTGATCATGATGTTGTTATAGTTTGTGTGTGTGTGTGTGTGTGTGTGCCGTAACTGTAGTAAATCTCATCTTCATTCCCGCTTTTACAGTAACTGTAAAAATCGTTTCGCTAGGAAAAGCCCAAGTTACTGCCCGAAAATTTACTGCACGAAATTTTATGACTGTTATCGATTTCTTGATGCGACCCCCTTCAGCCCGCACTGCCCCACCCTCTCAGCCCAAATACAATGCAAATTTCGGAAGGGGATTTACTTGACTCGGTGTAATTTAATGCGAATGTAAGAGAGTCAGGGCGTCGTGCTTTTATTTTTTTTAATTAAATGCTGAGAGCTCATAAAACTCTTATCGATGCTTTGGCGCTTTTGTGCAGTCCCAAAGCTGTCTTAAATTACAACTGTACTTTTGATTATCAGTTGCTGTGCAACACTTTTCGTCATGTGACGTCACGCCAAGCAGAATATAATTGCTAATCAGTCGGAACTCAGCTAACTACGTCATTCGGAGCAAATCGCATTTCTCTGCGAAGCGCTATTTGCGGAATGGGTTCATAAATAATAATTAAACGTGCATTTGTACAGTAAGAACTCCGGGCGAAGCAGATGCCTTTGTAGGGGATTTTTTTAGTTTCAATACATTTTCCTCAAATTGTTAAACAGACGAAACTCTTTACTCTTATCATGCACATAATGTTTACATATAAATGTACATTGAAAAATGTTAATTTGAGAAAAATATAAAGTGTAAACAATTGATTAAAAATATATACATATGTATGTATGTACATATTAATTTATTAACCGAGCCCATTTTGTGTTCACTCCTTAAGCGTTTTTTGTTTACATTTATGCGTTTATGTTATTAACAGAATATGTTAAAAATAATAAAGCGCGTGGCTTAGTTTCCTAATTAAACTTAAACAGCAGCAACAAACAAATCGCTCGCCTTTAATATGTTGACCTTTTTCGCTTTATGCTTGGGCTCTGCCCCTGTTATGCTCGCCTTTCGCTCCTCAGGCCCAAACTGTGGTCGGCTGGCAAGCGAGCGAAAGAGCAAGAGCGAACAACAACAGCAAGCAACAACAATGCCAAATGTAAACAAATGCTCACGCCAACTCGCTCTGCCTTGTCTCGTTTATTCGCACTCGCCGCACGCTCGCTCGCTCGTTACGTTCTGCAGTTCGCTCTCTCTGTCCCGCTCTCGCTCTCGCTCTCGCTTGACTCGCAGCACTTGACGTTGGCGACGGCTGCGACTGCTGTTGCTGTTGCTGCGAGTCGTTGTCAGTCGGCCTACGCTGCCTTTTTATGCTGTGCGCCTGTTCAAGTGTTCGGCCAAACCGCCGTTCGTTTGTATGCGAGTCGAGTCGCTCGTTCGATCATCGAACGCGTCGCTGTCGCGAGTAAATTTTTGTTGTTGTCGTTTTTCGTAAAGTCGCGACAACGTTTCCACTTCCATTTCTTGCTGCTGCTGCTGTTGCTGCTGCTGCTGCTGCTTGTGGCGTGCGTTCCTCAAGCCTTGCAAACCAGTTTTGTTTACAGCTTAATTTGATTGGGGGCCCTGCCCCTATACCCTGTGCCTTTTGGCCGGCGTGCTTCACGTGCCACATTAGGCATAAGTTGCAAAAGGTTTGCTCATTTGTGCCCACACACACACACACACACAACACACACATGCACACGCCGCTCACAACTCCAACATATTCGTTGGGTTCGCTGCAGTCGTGTCCACACAGCTCCACCCTACCCCAGCCGCCTTCGCTGTTGTTGTTGGTGTTGTTGTAGTCAGCACAGCACAGTGTCAGTCAGTCAGTTAGTCAGTTTGTCAGTTTGTCTGTCATTCATTTGGCAGCCCGCGTGCAGGCCAGTTCACAGCTCTCTGTGTTCGTCTGTGCTGTTTTTTTTGTTCAGGGCAGACGCGAGAAAACTCGCGCGCGAGTCGCTGGCGTTTAATGCATTTAATCAGTGCGTAATTATTGATGTTTTTGTTGTTTTTGTTGTTGCGGCTGCCTCATACGTTTCTGATGCGTTTTTATCAGTTCAACTGAATTTTTGTCAAGTTTTTTTGCGCTATTTTGCATTTGGTTTAAAACGCTTGTTGTTTTGATTGTCGTGTGTGTGTGTGTGTGTGCTGCCTGCAAGCACGTAGCACCTTTATTTTTATTCTTTTTGACTCATATGCTAGTCCATTCGTGTCTTATCAGCAGTTTGTTTTTTGCGTCCCATTGTTGCGGGGAATCCGCCGCAACCCAAATGAGAAAAGTTGGAAAACAGCGCCTCAGATTGCCAAAAAACTAACAAAAAAAAACAAAAAACAAAAAAAAATAGACAAAAACCAAACATAAAAGTCGTCTGAGCAAAGTTTGAGCTCTAAAAAGAGTTCTAGAGGAGTTTCGTACACAAAAAGTTTGATCTGTTTTAAATGTCCGAAATTGCTGCAAGTGCCATATATCAGGAAATTATGCATAAAAAAGTAACTTGAAATAGTTGAGATCAGTTGAAGCTCTCATAATTCCAATAAACCATCAAATTATGTGTGCTTAATGTGTCTAATGGGCTTTCTAATTGTGTTTTTTTTTCATTTGTTTTATTTCAAGTTTGATGATATGTTATCAAGCAATTGATAAATGAGGCATGTTTCTAAACAATTTTAACTGATTTCCGTGGCTTTACACTAATACAGTGCGTGTTCGATGGTCTAGACTAAGTGGAAGCAATGAAAGTAGTTGAAAGCAATTATCGATGTTTTGTTTTAATGAATTGTTTTAGCCAAAACTACTAAGTAATTGCTTGGCGTTTTTACTATTCTCGTAAAGCAAGGTCTGTGTTTTTTGTATTTCCCCCATCTCTATTTCGATGGCTTCGATAGTTTTAAATATCGATCAATAATTTATCGATAATGCGCATGTTTCTGGTTAAAATAGTTTTCCAACTTTTTTACCTCTTTATGTCCTTGTTAGGCACTCTTTCCATTTCTAACACTTTTCCTGTTCCGCTTTTCCTTGTAACTATTTTGATATGTATCGATATTTATCGATAATGCTTGCTTTAGCCTTAACAGCTTATTAATTACTTGTATTCTCTTATATTTACAGATAGTTCAACATGCCTACCCAATCGCTATATCGCTGCCTCTTGCCTCACGTCCCGCCACTTCGAGCAACGTAGAGTTTCTTCTGTTTTGTCTCATATTCTTCCAACAAAATTGTGGCAATTGCAACAACAACAAATATAATAATAATAATAGCAACAAAGTCTTGTGAAAATTCCTGCCAACAGCAACAAGTGAAACGTAAAGAAAAAAAAAAAAACATTTAAAAACTAAATATAAAAAAATAAAAAACAAAAACAACAACAAACTACACTGAGAGAAACGCTTCGAGCGTGTTTGGTGCCGTTTTGTGGTCTTGTTACTTCGTGATTTCGTCGCCGTCGTCAGCGTTTGCCGCCGACGGAGGAGGACGAGAGACGCGAAGCAACGAGCCGTAGCCAAAGCCTCAACACGGACGCATTTATGGATGCGGGCGGCCTGCCAGTGTTCCAGAGCGCCAGCCAAGCAGCAGCAGCCGCCGTCGCCCAGCAGCAACAACAACAGCAGCAGCAGCAACAGCAACAACAGCAGCAACAGCATTTGAATCTCCAATTGCATCAGCAGCACTTGCAGCAGCAGCAGAGTTTGGGCATACATCTGCAGCAACAGCAGCAACTGCAACTGCAACAGCAACACAATGCACAGGCGCAACAGCAGCAGCAGTTGCAGGTGCAGCAGCAGCAGCAGCGACAGCAGCAACAACAGCAACAGCAGCAACACTCTCCCTACAATGCCAACCTGGCAGCAGCAGGCGGCATTGTCGGCGGCCTTGTCCCTGGCGGCAACGGAGCTGGCGGCGTTGCGTCTGCAGCAAATGTCGGCGGGCCCAATGGGAACAACAGCACCAGCAACAATAACAACAGCAACAACAACAGCATCAACATCAACAACGGCAACATTTCGCCCGGCGACGGTCTGCCAACGAAACGTCAGCCAATTCTTGACCGCCTGCGCAGACGCATGGAAAACTATCGGCGCAGGCAAACGGACTGCGTGCCTCGTTACGAGCAGACCTTCAGCACCGTCTGCGAGCAGCAGAACCATGAGACATCCGCGCTCCAGAAGCGCTTCCTCGAGAGCAAGAACAAGCGGGCGGCCAAAAAGACTGAAAAGAAACTGCCGGAGACCCAACAGCAGGCACAGACACAGATGTTAGCCGGACAGTTGCAGAGCAGCGTACATGTGGTAAGTGCCCAAAAATACATATTGAACTATATACATAAATATAAGAATAATTATTCAAAGGGAAAGGTTTTTTTCTTGAAATTTTCGTGTACGCGAGATATTCAGAGATGCTGAATTTACGCTAAAAACTCAGAACTTTGCCAGTAACTGCATTACAGGAACTGGCTTTTACGGCAGGATAATTGGGATAATTTCGGATAATTTTGAACCTAGTTTTGACATTCAGATAGAATTTAGGTTTAATTCGAAGCCAGTTATGCCAGTCGGATAAAATTCGGATAAATTTGTAGCTGGTTTTAACAATCAGATCAAATTTCGAATAATTTGAAGACAGATTTTACAGCCGGATAAAATTCGGATAAATTTGGAGCTGATTTGACAGCCGGTTGAAATTCGGAACTTAAAGTATAAAAAATTCTGTTTGAAAAAGAGAGTATGTTTACGTTGTCGGATAAAACTGGCTAATTTCGGATAAGAGCTTTTATAGACTGACAGTCCCGAAAAGTTTACGCGGCAGATGAATCTTTACGGATTATTATGGAATTCTTTTAAAAAGCCTCTTAAATTATGTGATACATGTTTGCAATTCACATAGCTGTTTGCAATTCCGGGATCGCAATTTGGACTTTTGTCGTTTGCCTTGCAGCACTTCATATGTATATATATATATAAATACATGTATTCAAGACGTGTGCATACATGCTTAGATACATATGTATCTGTCAGATACGTTTCTCTCACGCTCGCTCAGCAAAGGCTCATTGTGCGCTTATTATTATGTTTTGGGCGCAATATTAGAGCTGGTGCACGAAACGAAGCCAGCACACACTCACACACACACACACACACACACACACACACACACACACACACACACACACACACACACACACACACACACACACACACACACACACACACACACACACACACACACACACACACACACACACACACACACACACACACACACACACACACACACACACACACACACACACACACACACACACACACACACACACACACACACACACACAACACACACACACACACACACACACACACACACACACACACACACACACACACACACACACACACACACACACACACACACACACACACACACACACACACACTCACAGACACAACTGCACATGTATACAAAATAATAATGAGGTCAGCGTTTTTTTGTTTTATTTTTTATTTATTTATTTATTTTTGCTTTTTTTCAGTTTCAGTTCAGTTTCACTCGCATTCGCATTCGCATTCGCTGCCAAGTTGTAGCTACAAGATACATTTTGTTGTTGTTGTTGTAGGTACTGCTTTGGGTTGTGTGCATTTTAAATACCTTGAAATTATTTTGTAAGCCAAAGATTTTTCTCGTCGAATACTTCAAACAGAGCCCAGCGAACTCTGTGGACCTCGTCTCTGTCTTCATCTCCAGCTCGGCCGCATGAAGGCTTGCAACATGTCAGTCGACTGGCCAACGGGGCTGACTGACTGACTGATTGACTGACTGACTGACGAACTGATTGACTAACTGACTGACTTATGTAATTGTTGGTTCTGCCAATGCGCCGTTCGTTGTTCGCTTTCTGTTGCAATTCTAGAGACCAAATCGACCCCGTGTAATTGCCACAAATTTACAGAGTCAACTTCAACTTCAGCTACAACTGCAACTTCAACGCGATTTGAAAACTTCAAGTTTCTATTTCTTTTTATCAACTTCCACTTGAGCCAGACGTGAGCTATTCGCATTTATAGCTGACCAGTTGCCCATCTGCGAGCTGAACTGAACTACGCGAATCTGAGCTCAGTTTTGTTCAAATTCAGTTGTGCTTCTGTTGGCGCACTTTCAATACCCTGTAGTAGAGTAAAGCTTAAAGAAGGTAGTTTAATGCGTAGACAATGTATGTCATATCTTTTAGCAATATATATCTTAAAGACATGTTTGTTTCCGATATGTTTCGAATTTAATGACTTCAAAAACTAGAGATGAAAAAATGTAGCTTGTAGACTTTCGTAATACAGCAAAAATGTTATTAAAATATTAAATATCACACACGATTCCCTAATGATTCGATGGAACTCAGAAACAACAAGGAATAGATATAGAAAATTCGGAATGTTATTAAGACCATAAATAAATAGTTTTCCACACACATTTGAACTCAGGAATTGCAAGGCATACATATAGAAAGTTTTGAATGAGAACTTGCTTTGAATAAGTCCTTATGATCCTTACAAAATTGATGCAAACTTCTCACTCATTCACTTAAACTCGGGAGATTCGCATCAGCTAAATCAGCTCATGCAGCTAAAATGAGATAGGAATTTGGTTTATCTCACGCCAATTTGCTTAAAACGAAAATAGAATATGTACAACTTTGCATATTTAGAATAATATGTCTACAGGGCATCTTGCAGTCGTGCACTTGCAAGCAGGTAATTGCTACATTTTCCGCATCCGTTTGCAATGTCATTTGTGTCATGTGCGACCGGTAATCATTCACTTGTATATATAGTCGGTTCCGCCCCGTCCCCCTTCCCTCTTACCTACCCCCCTTCTTGATGGCTTACCCTTCCCTTTAGCCACGAACGATTCACAGTTTTTGTTTAATTTTAATTAGCTTGAAAGTCTTTTGTCGTTATTTCTGTATGCTCTCTCCGTCTTTCTCCCCCTCTCTTTCAATCTTTCTCTCTCTCTGCTTTCTGCGTAATGCAAAAATTTGTAGCTGATTCACAATGAAAGATTTTACTCTTATCCGCAAACACGTCAGTGCCAGTGCCAGTCCCAGCCCCTGCCCCAGCCCCATCCTCAGCCGCAGCCCCAGTCTCTTTATCAAGAGGCTTAGCCATTGCGATAAACGATAAATGCTGTTATTATTTCGCATACCTTCAACATTAATCGCTAGCTGGAGACCTCCGACTTGTCGGTTAACCGCAAACTATAATTATAAAATTAAACAGAAAATCTCTAGTCAAAGTTTCAATAGAGACTTAACTACTTAGAGCTGCTCCGATGCAGTCAAGTACTTCCTTTTCTATAGATTAGTTAAATAGAAGATTTTCATTTATTTTGTTAAGCTGTGCCTTAACTATATGGAATTGCAGCAAGTTCTTCGGGCAGTTCTTGACATTTAGTTGGGTTATTACAAATGCATTTCTTAATTACCTTTTAAATAAATACTCGAAGGTTCTCTATAGTTGGAAATATATAGATATGTATAAAGATATTTAAAAAATATATTTAAAAACAAAAGTAATATTTAAATTTAATGTATATGTATATATATAGTTCTTTTCATTATGTATTACAAAGAACAATACATTTCCATTTTGTCTTTTATTTTTAGATATATATGTGTATATATATATATATTATATATATATATATTCATTTGTATATATATTCGTCTGATTCGCACTCTCCCTAGTTGTTCACTCATCCGACTCTGCGACAGGTGGCATTAAAAATGCGCAAATGAATTAATGATCGACTGTTGTCCATCGAGCGCGTCCGGCCTCAGAGCAGGGGGTCCCAATCCTAACTCTCTAAGCTTTTCACTTTTCTTTTTCGTTTTGGTATTGGAAAACTTTTACTGCTGTTGTTGTTGTTGTTGCTGCTGTTGCTGTTGTTGTCGCTTCTGCTGCGGTTGGCAGTGAAAATCACGGCAAATTACGGCCAACAATTGGCGGCCGGCTGCAACATGCAAAACATGAAAGCAACAACAACAACAACAACAGCAGAAACAACAACAGCATAAGTAATACATATTGTTTATAATGCGTTTTTTATTTGGGAAAGTCGCGTGTTGCAATTTTCTCTCTCTTTCGTTTCTTGCATTCAATTTTTTCTCTGCTTCTTGTCGTTATTTTTTTTTATTGGCTTTGTCTTGAGTTGTTTTTCATTGTTTGTTGTTGTTGTTGTTGTTGTTGTTGTTGTTGCTG